GCAGCATATTGTTTGGTCTTGTTTTGTGATCCATTCTACTAGCCTGTGTCTCTTGATTGGTGAGTTTAAGCCATTAACATTTAGGGTTATTATTGAGATATGGGTTGTTCTTCCAGCCATATTTGTTTATTTATGTTACTAAACATGGTTTGTTTTCCTCTTTGATTATTTTCCCCCCTTTAGTGTCCTACCTCCCACTGTTGGTTTTCATTGTTATTTTCCATTTCCTCTTCCTGTAATGTTTTGCCAAGGATGTTTTGAAGAGATGGTTTTCTAGCTGCAAATTCTTTTAACTTTTGTTTATCGTGGAAGGTTTTAATTTCATCTTCCATCCTGAAGCTTAATTTCGCTGGAAACACAATTCTTGGTTGGAACCCATTTTCTTTCAGTGTTTGAAATATGTTATTCCAGGATCTTCTAGCTTTCAGAGTCTGTGTTGAAAGATCAGCTGTTATCCTGATTGGCTTACCCCTAAATGTGATCTGCTTCCTTTCTCTTGTAGCTTTTAAAATTCTCTCCTTATTCTGTATGTTGGGCATCTTCATTATAATGTGTCTAGGTGTGGGTCTCTTATGATTTTGCACATTCGGCGTCCTGTAGGCTTCTAGGATTTGGGGTTCTGTCTCATTCTTCAAGTCTGGGAAGTTTTCTCGTATTATTTCATTGAATAGATTGCTCATTCCTTTGGTTTGAAACTCTGTCCCTTCCTGTATCCCAATGACTCTTAAATTTGGTCTCTTGATGTTATCCCATATTTCTTGGATGTTCTGCTCATGGTTTCTTAACAGTCTTGCTGAGCTGTCTATGTTCTTTTCAAGTTGAAATACTTTATCTTCATTGTCTGATGTTCTGTCTTCTAAGTGTTCTACTCTGCTGGTAGTATTCTCAATTGAGTTTTTAAGTTGGCTTATTGCTTCCTGCATTCCTAGGATTTCTGTTTGTTTGTTTTTTATAACCTCTATTTCCCTGTATAGTTGATCTTTTGCTTCTTGGATTTGTTTATGTAATTCATTGTTGAAGTGATCTTTCATTGTCTGATTTTGCTGTCTGATGTCTTCCTTGAGACTCCAGATCATCTGAAGCATGTATATCCTGAATTCTTTATCTGACATTCCATCTGCTGCAGCTATTACCTCTTCTAACGTTGAGTTGACCTGCAATGCTTGTGGTCCTTTCTTTCCTTGTCTCTTCATACTGTTCGCGTTCCTTTCCACTTGGTGAAACTGTTGTGCTATTGAATTTTCCCCCTATATATTTATATTGGTCTTGTATAGTTGCAAAGTCTCCCTCGCAGGCGCGGGTGGCGGCTCTGTCCCTCTGCGGGCCGCTAGGCTTGTTCTGTCGGTGGTCACAGTTCTGTCTACTTTGCAGGCGCAGGCAGCGGCACTGCCCCTCTGCAGGCCTCTGGGGCTGTACTGGCAGTGGGTCGCAGGTGCGCCTACCTTGCAGGCGTGGGGGGGGGGGGCGGCTCTACCCTTCCTCAGGCCACTGGGCCTGTTCTGTCTCTCGTTTGCAGGTCTGGCCTGTTCTGATGGTGGTCACAGTTCCGTCTACCTTGCAGGCGCGGGGGGGAGGGGGCGGCTCTGCCTCTCAGCAGGCCGCTGCTCCTCTTCTGCCGGTGGGTCGCAGGCCCGCCTACCTTGCAGGAGTGATTGGAAGCTCTGCCACTCTGCGGGCCACTGGGCCTTTTCTGTCCGTGGTCACAGTTCCCCTACCTGGCAGGCGCGGGGGGTGGGGGGCGGCTCTGCCCCTCAGCAGGCCGCTGGGCCTGCTCTGTGCGTGGTCACAGTTCCCTCTACCTTGCCGGTGCAGGGGGAGGGGGCGGCTCAGCCTCTCAGCAGGCCGCTGCTCCTCTTCTGCCGGTGGGTCACAGGCCCGCCTACCTTGCAGGAGTGATTGGAAGCTCCGTCCCGCCGCGGGCCACTGGGCCTTTTCTGTCGGTGGTCACCGGTCCACCTACCTGGCAGGCGCGGGGGGTGGGGGGCGGCTCTGCCCCTCAGCAGGCCGCTGGGCCTGCTCTGTGCGTGGTCACAGTTCCCTCTACCTTCGCAATGCATATTTATATTTTCACATAATGTATGATCTTGATCAGCATATTCTTTTAGTGGCTATTATTTATACCTCTTTGTGGATCATGGACTTTAAAAAAAAAAAACAAATTGTTTTATCTAACACTGAAATGATTAACTTGATATACTTACATTTCATTCTCAACCTTTATTTCACCCTATACTTAGACAGTGGTTTTTCAACACAATGTTAAAATTCCTTGAGAATCTTCTAAGAATTTATATCAAAACCAGATCTGTCTTAGGGACGGGTGTGGTAGTGCATACCTATAATGCCAGCAGCTCCAGAAGTTAAGGCAAGAGGATCTCCCCTTCAAAGCCAGCTTCAGCAGCAGTGAGGCACGAAGCAACTCAGTGAGACCCTGTCTCTAAATAAAGTACAAAGGAACTAGAGAATAAAGCTCAGTGGTTGAGTGCCCCCCTGAGTTCAGTTGGCGTACCTAAAAACAAATAAAATAAATTTTTAAAAAATAGGTCTCAGATATTAAAAATATTTGAAGATGAGCTCTGAACATAAATATTTTTTGTTAATCTTTTAGGATCGGAGCTGTTAGCCTTTTATATTCTTCCTTTCCAGCAAAGTCTTTGTGTACTTTTAGCATCAAGGAAATGCTGGTCTTAAAAATGTGATGCAAAGTCATCTTTTTCTCTTCTTGAAGCAGTTTCTGTATGATTGACATTATTTCCCCCTCAAATAATATTTTTGTTTGGTAGACTTTAGGGAAGCCATCTGCCTAGAGTTTTCTTTGTATCTATAATCTCCTTTTTAAATCAGATTATTTCCTCTGTTTAGGAAATTGTTTTTGTTCTTACAACTAAATTTTTAAATATACTAGTATATAGTTATACATAATATCCTATGATTTTTGTGGAGTTTTCTTATCTTTCTTTTCTTCTTTAGTGATTCCCACTTTCACTTTCTGATAATGATTTTCTGTACTATCTCCTGTCAACATTAGGAGAAATTTATCAAGCTTTAAAATTTCTACTTTGCATTTATTTTCAATTTTGTTCATTTATGTGCTTTATTTCCTTCCTTCTGCTTCCCTAGAATTTAATTTGCATTTAATTTTTTAAGTTATTGTGATTCAGGCTTTCCTTTGTAATATATGAATTAAACTATGGATTACTGAGTATAGCTTTTAGTTATATTCCATATTTTGAAATGTATTTTTATTACCAGTCAATTCAAAATACTTTATAACCTTTTATTTTTATTGAATTATTGATTATTTAGGACTTAATATCCAAACAGAGGGTTTTTTGTTTTTGTTATTTATGGGCACCTTAATTCTACCCTGGTTAGCAAACATGGTTTCAATGTTTTTAACAATATTCATGTACATCTGAAAAAGTAAATTCTTTAGTTCATAGATGCACACCTGTGTAAAATCAGTTGGGTCAAGTTTAACACTACCATTCAAATATTGATCTTAATAAGTTCATTGTCTGCCTGTTCCGGCACGGAGAAGAAAGTGTCTTAATATCTGTTAATATTTTATTAATTATCCATTGTTATTATGGGTATTTGTTTTTTCCATTAATTCTTTTTGTTTATTTATTTTGAGCCTTCGTCATCATGTGGGTACCAATTTAGAATTGTTATTTTTCGTTGTGATAGGAGTTTCTAGCTTGATGAAATAACTCTCTTCTATAATGTCTCTTGCCTTCAAATCTGCTTTGACTGACATCAGTATGACTACAACTTTCTTTTGGTTAATGTTGGCATTCTGGTATCCTTATATTTAAGGTGTATTTTCTGTAATCGGCATATGCTTAATTTTGTTTTTTTATCAGTTTTCTTACTCCATTTACATTTAATATTATTCCTGATATATTGTGTATATTTACTGTCATTAGTTTTCTGTTTGTCCCACCTATGATATAATCCTTTTTCTTTCCTCTTTGCCTCCTTTTAGGTGAGTCAAGTGGTTTAATTTCATTTCTCCTCACTATCATCTCTTTAGTTACCAGTTTTTGTTTTTGTTTTGTTGTTGTTTTGTTTTTTTAAACTGTCCTCTTAATGAATACCCTAGAGCTTACAACATGTCTCCCTGACTTAACCATTTCCTGGATAGGGTAGCAAGAGACCTTGAACACAAATTTCTTTATTACTTCTGACACTTTGCCAGCATGTATTTTTAATTTTACTTTTCTTTTTTCTAGTTATTTCTTATATGCAGTTAAGGGAATGCATCTTAAGTGTATAGCTTAGTTATTCTTATGTATGTTCCCAAATAACACCATCTAAATCAAAATTATCATTTCTGCTTTTAAGATTTTTGATTTTCTGAAGTTTTGTTATGATTTGAATAGATGTTTACTTAAGATTTATTGGACCTCTCTAATCGATAGGTTAATATTTTCAAAGTTGTAGAAACTTTTCAGCTATTATATCAATTATTATTAATGTCCCATTCTTTGTTTTTTGGAATTGCACTTGAATGTATGTTACTCTTCTATTTGTTTACTAACTTGAGTAGTCCAGAAGGTTTTTTCAGTAACTTGAGGTTCCGAGAAATGTACTTTTCGTATAGGACATTAGAGCACATTAAAGTAACTCAGCCACCAATAGGTGAACACTGGGAAGGTACTAATTTAAATGTATGCTGTAGACAGAATGTCTGATAAACTATGATACATATTGAAAGTTCAGTAATAATGACGACTCTTAAACAAGTCACATTTGATTTTTAACCTAAAAGATTATTGAGCAGCCTGTTTTCTATTTTAAAAAAATGATAAATTTAGTTTTTTGTAGATTTGTACAAATTCTAAAAAGTAGATGTTTAACATCAGGGGAAAATGGAAAACTGTATTATCTCAGGTTATTGAGTACTATTTATAAAGTTGTAATTTTATAATAGAAATGTTGGGTTTTAACTTTTTCTTAATTTACAACGTAGTGTGTTTTTTGTTTAACATTTTTAGGATGGCCTTGTTAACGTAGGATGGATGGACTGTGCCACCCAGGACAACCTTTGTAAAAGTTTGGATATTACAACAAGTACTACTGCTTATTTTCCTCCTGGAGCCACTTTAAATAGCAAGGAGAAAAACAGTATTTTGGTATGAATAACTTTAAGGAAATTTCTTTATTTATAAATGTGTACATGCACACACATTTAAAAATGTATCCTTTTATAAGCAGTTAGCAAGGAAATGAAACAGTTTATATGGATCATTTCATTAATTAGAATATGTAAATTCTTGGGATTTTGTTTATTATATACTTTAGTTTAAAAATAATCCTTATAAAGTTCTTTACAAACTGGCATTTGTATTATACATTTAAAACCATTATAGTTTTAAACTTCAAAGATATGGTTAAATGAAAGAGTGTTTTTACCATAACAATGTATTTCATAAGTTTTTATTTTTGTATTTTCTAATGGTAAAAATGTAGATCCCTAATAGGTTTGGCTAGGACCCAGTTATGTTTTTAAGTACCCTATGGGATTCTGATGTAAACTCAGATCTAGAAATTTGGAAATCTGATACAGTTCACCTCCCTGTGTTTCTGAAGCAGGAAACTTGAGACTCAAGCTAGTTGTCGAGGAAGTGAGCTAAATAATGGGATTTCCTGGGGACTCCCAAAAGAATATAAAGAAGAATAATAAAATATAGAAAACTGAAAGAAATTTGTCTTTAATTCTGCTTTTTAAATGTTGATAATTATAACACATACTCATTTCAGAAATTCATGCACAGTACAGAAATATATAAAGATCCAACATTTCCTAAAATTCAATCACTTGTGGACAACCACCATCAAGTCCTGGTAAATACCCTGCAGATCCTTTACATATACACTCTATAATGACTGGTCCATAGTTTATGGCTCAGACCTTTGCCCTGCACTCCAGAAATATTATATACATGCATGGATATGTACACATATGTACACTGCCTTTCAGCATCTCCCGAGATACTAGGCAATATGTCAGATTTAAATGCCTATAATTATCTTGCTAATACTCCCATATATAAATCTGCTTCTCCCCAATTTTCTCCATTTCAGTTTATGAAAACTCTGTCCTTTCTCTTTCAGGCCAAATATCCTGCAGTCAATTTTGATTGCTCTTTTTCTCGTACCCTATAACCAGTTTGTCAGTAAAATCTGACTATCTTTAAGATGTTTTATAATTTGCCTCTATGGCTACAGAGTACTTATCACTTTATAACATGCTGTAATTTATTTACTTTTCTATTATTTTTCTCCTGCATTAAATTTTAAGTTTATATTTGTTCACTGGTGTATACCAAATGCCTAGAAGTATTCTGGTGATTATTGTGTGTTTGTATGGCATCTCTGTGTGTATGTATGAGTTTGTATTGTGTATATATACTCTAGGTATATATTTTCAACAGTGTGTGTGTGTGTGTGTGTGTATATACACACATACATACTTCAGTAACTCATATTTACTTTATTAAAGTGTATACACTTTTAATAATTAACAATTTCTTAGCATAATTCACTAAGTAAATATGATATATTTAGAAATAAGTATCAAGAGAGGACTGATAAAAGCTATTTTTGAAGGCTATAAGAGTGCTATAATAAGTAATCCTGTATGTTCATCTTAATTCACTTATTCAAGTTTTAAAACTGTAAAGTATTATCTCAGCTAAATATATCTGAAAGGTGAGGTTCAAACAGTCCTTTAAAAGTGTAACTAAAATTCTATAAGACAAACACGGTTTATAATGAGTTTATAATATACTAATCATACACGTATATAAAGCTGTTATGAGTATTTTTAGTGTGATCTTTATAATGACTGATTAAAGTATGGAACTATAAGCTATAAAATTGAGACATTAAGGGCTGGAATTGTGGCTCAGTAGTAGAGTGCTTGTTTAGCATGAGTGAGGCACTGGGTTTGATCCCCAGCACCAAATTTAAAAAAAAAATTAAACAAAATAAAGGTATTGTGTCCATCTACAACCAAATTTTTTTTAATTGAAGCATTAAAGATTTATTTTTATATTTTAAGCCATTTTCAAGTAGTATTTCTTAATTATTAAACAGATGATTCATGATTAAAGATATAAAAGTGTTTTTTCAACTCTCATATACATCTACTTGATGTAAACCATTGCTGCATTCTTTATTGTAACAGCTGCTTCATGGAGAATTGGACTAGCAGAGGGGGTTCTGTGAGACAGAAATAAAGGAGATTTGTTAGAAGGGAGGTGTGCCTTTTTTCAGTTTTTGTCTTAAATAAACATGGCTCTAAAACATGCTTAAGATCTATGTATATTTTAGTATAAATACTCCTATATTGTTTGGTTTGTGAACAGTATTCTGAAAACCATTTCAGTTTTGTGGTTATAAGTTTTTCTTACCTTACCACTATTAATTAGTTGGGGTGTAAAATGTCTTAGATCATCAAAATTCGATTTAAAAATTCTAGGCTAGGGTTGTGGCTCAGTGGTAGAATGCTTGCACTGGCTGGGTTCGATCCTCAGCACCACATAAAAATAAACAAGTAAATGTCTAAAAACAACAACAAAAAAAATTTAAAAGAATACATAAGACATATAAACATAGTTAGCATTAAAATTAAACTGAACATAGTATATTTCTGTGGTGATTTAGCAAATTACTATAAGGATTCCATAGAAAATTTCATATACTGAAACACCTAATAATGGAATTTCTTTTTCATTATTTTTTTAAAAGCCTGGTCATATGATTATTCAGTATTTTAAATAATTGCCCAAATGTGATATACTTTTTTAAAAATTAAAAAACATTTTGAAATATTTTGATAAACTTCAGATTTCTTCTTGTTTACTCAAAGATTACAACATGATTCTCTTATTCTAGTTTCTTAATTCACTGGATGCTAAAGAGATATATTTGGAAATAATACGTAATCTTCCAGATTTTGAACTACTTTCGGCAAGCACATTAGAGGTAATGATTTTATTAATAGTGGCATATAGTAATAAATATTGGTAACTTTTCAAGTCCTTAAGTATTAAAGTCAGCATTGTTTTATTCATCACTAAAGAGAACTAAATGTAGCAGTTTCCAAGAATTCTGTATTAAGCAGTTCTAGGTTACATTTGGATTCCTGGAACTTAGATATTGGTAATTCAAAGTAAATCTATAATTTAAGAACCTACCCAACTTGAAGGTTGGAAAGGCAAGATTTTGATCACAAAGGAACTTTGGATCTGAATTGGAACTTAATGTTCTTGCTTATAGTACTCTTTCTGTTGTTCACTGAAAACTAAGCATTATTTGTGATTAGAATTCTTAGAAATATTCAGTTAGAATCATGTATTCTACTTTCTGATCCCAGAGCTATCCAAGTATATATTTCTACCAAATATAAGTTTTATTAAACCTGCAAAACTTACTTCTTCAACCCCTCCCCAAAATTTTAGCTGTATATTAGTTAAACTATATTTTTTTCTTGGCACAGTCATCTGCTTGAACATTTTATGACTCAATGATTTAGCCACCTATAATATTATAAAATTGATTTACATAGCATTATTCCCAGTAAGCTATAAAATAAGAGCATGAATGGTCTGGATTTTAGATTTTAGATTATATTTGTAACTGAGCAGGATAGCTAAAACTAACCTCAAAGTCAAAGAAATAAAGATTAGATCTACCTTGGAATTTCCCATCTGATGTTTCTTTACCACTTTCAAGGATCGTTTGGCACATCATCGGTGGCTCTTATTTTTTTATTTTGGAAAAAATGAAAATTCAGATGATCCTGAGTTGAAAAAACTGAAAACTCTACTTAAAAATGATCATATTCAGGTAAGAAAAATGTATTTTGCCTTGTCTTCTGATGGTGTGCTTCCTTGTTAGTCCAATACATATGATTAAATTTTAAATAACAAAAATGTTTATTGACTTTGTAGATTAAGAAGCCCTTAAGTGTTTGGTCTTGGTTGTGTTGGTTTTCATTTGTTTTTTTATTTATGTTTTTTCTATTAAACATGGACATGATATCTAAAAGTGTGAATTTTCATTTTTTCTAGCATTTGACAAATTTGTATCTTACAGATGTTCTGAAAGATGTTATAGAAGAGTATCTTTTCCTTTTTTTTGTACATGTTTTATTTAACCTCATGTATCCAAAATATTTCAATATGAATTTTTTTTTAAACTGGCACATTATTTGTATATACTTAACAGGGTACACTATGATAACTCAATACATGTATATAGTATAATGATCATATCAGGGTTGTTAGCATTTTCACCTGAAACATTTATCATTTCTATGTATTAGAAACCTTCAGACTCTTCAGTTATTTTGAAATATATTGTGGTAGAGCATGATACTCTACCATGCTATATATAACACCACTATTAATTTCTCCTGTTTAACTGTTTTAGTACTCATTATCGAGCCTCTCCCCCCTTTTCCTCACTCCTTTTCCCAGTCCTACTCATTGTCTGTGAGACCACATTTTTTTTTTTTTTTTAGCTTTCACAGTGAATGAAAACATGTCTCTTTTTAACATGAGGTCCTCGATTTCATTCATGTTGCTGTGACATTTTTTAACATCTAATTTTCTGTTGTGTGTGTGTATATATATCACATTTTCTTTATCATTGATCGATCAGTACACACTTTGGTTGATTGCATAGCTTAGCTTTTGTGATTAGTGCTTATGATAAACTTGGGAATTGTAAGAATATCTTTGATCCAGTGATTTCATTTGCTCTGGATATGTGCCTTGTGCTGGGATAACTGGACCATAAGATAGTTCTTAGTTTTTGTTTTTTTTTTTTTTTTAAGGAACCTCAATATTATTTTTCTTAATGGCTGTACCAATTTACATTTTCACCAGCAGTGTTTAAGAGTTCCTCTTTCTCCATATCCTCATCAGGATTGATTTTTCTTTTTGATAATGCCCATTTTACTGGATTGGAGTGGTAATCTTGTTGTTTGCACTTGAATTATTCTGATAGTGATATTGAGCATTTTTCCATATGCCAGTTGACCATTTATTTTTGTCATTCTTTGGTGTCTATTTAGATCTTTTCTGCAGGTTATCCTTTCCTATTTTAACATTTTTCTTTAATAGAAATAATAGAAGCTTCTTAGTTTGATTTAAGCCCATTTGCCTTTTTGGTGCCTGAGACTTTTGGGTCCTATCCAAAAATAATTGCGTGCACCAGTATTTTGAAAGATTTCCCCTGTTTTCTTATAGTAACTTCATAATTTCAGGTTTAACATTCAGGTCTATAATCCATTTTGAGTTGATTTTTGTGTGCAGTGAGAAAGAGATCCAGTTTTATTCTGCATGTGTTTGTCCACTTTTGCCAACACCAGTTTTTGAAGACACTCTTGTTTCTCCACTATGTCTTCTTGGTACTTTGGTAAAATATCAGTTGACAGTGTAAATGTATATTAGTTTCTGAGCTATTTTATTCCATTGGTGTGCATAAGATTTATCCTAGTACTAGGCTTTTTCCTTACTATAGTTCAATATTCTGTTTTGAAGTCAGGAATTGAGTACTGTGATGCTTCCATCTTTGTTTTTTGAGATGTGTTTCACTATGTTAAGCTGTCCTTGACCTCCAGGGCTCAAGCAATCCTGCCATAGCCCCCTGAGTAAATTGACACAAGTGTACACCACCACACCTAGTCCAGCTTTGTTCTTTTTACATAGATTATCTTGGTTATTTTTGGTCTTTGTGGTTCTATATGAATTTTAGGGTTTGTTTATTTCTCATATGAAGAATATCATTGGTATTCAATCGGAAATGCATTGAAAATGTAGATTGCTTTGGATAGTGTGGGCATTTTGATTCTTCTGATTAATGAACATGGATGTCCTATTATTTGTGTGTCCTGGTAAAGTTTCTTTCATAGGTGTTTTAGAAATGTCATTGTAGAGATTTTTCACCTCCTTGATTTAAATATTTCTAGATTTTTTTCATAGCTATTATAGGTGGGACTGCTTTCTTGATTTCATTTTAGTTTAATCATATAAAAATGCTCCTAATTTGTTGGTTTTGTGTGCTGTACCCTTTACTAACTTAAGAGTTCAGTTTTTTGGTGGAATGTTTGGATTTTTCTATATATAAAATCATATCATCTGCAAACAGGCATAATATGACTTCCTTCTTTCCAGTTTGGATAACCTTTATTTCTGTCTCTTGGCTATTTACTTTTGCTAAGGCTTCCAATATTCTGTGAAATAAGACTAGTGAAAATGAACATCCTTGTCCTATTCTAGATCCTTTAGAGGAAATGCTTTCAGCATTTTCCCATCCACCATAGAATGGTAGCTATAAGTTTGTTATATATGTTGAGATATTTCTTCTGTATGTAATTTGTGAATTTTTATCAAGAAGAAATGTTGATTCTTACAGAATTTTTTTCTGCATTTATTGAGATAATCATATATCTTTTGTCCTTCATTCTGTTGACACGTTTATTGATTTATATATGTTGAAATCAGCCTTGCACTAAATCTCACCTGATCGTGGTATATAATCTCCATAATGAGCTATTGGATTCAGTTTACTAGTATTTTGTTAATTTTTGCCATCTGTGTTCGTCAGGAATATTGGTATATAGTTTTATTTGTTGTGTTCTTGTCTGGTTTGGGTCATGGTTTCATGTAGTGAATTAGACAGTGTTTACCTTTTCAGTCTTTTGGAATAGTTTGAGAATTGGAGTTAGTTATTTGTTGATGTTTTAACATTCAGTTGTGAAGTCCTCAGCTCTTGATCTTTGATGGTAAATTACTGCTTCATTTATTTGTGTTCTGATCTTTGTGTCGTCTAATTTGGGATTTGACTTTTTCTTCTCTAGGTCATTGAGGTATATCATTAGGTTTTATAATTTAGTGCATGTATTTATTGCTATAAATCTCTTGTTACTGCTTTTGTGTATCCCAGTTTTTGATGTTTTTCATTTTTCTATCAAGAGATTTTTTTCTTATTTTTAATTTCTTTAGTGACACATTAGTTATTCAAGAACACAGAGTCCAGGTGCCTGTATGTTTTGCATCATATTTTATTGAATTCTAGTTTTATTTCATTGTGGTCAGAGAAGATGCATGATTTTCACTTTTTAAAAATATATTGAAGTTTGATGTATGATTTGTGGTCTATCCTGGAGAATGTTTTGTATGCTGATGAGAAGAATGTGTGTTCTGCAACTGTTGCATGAAATGTCCTGTAAATGGTAGGTCTACTTGCTCTATAGTATAATTCAATTCTGATGTATCCTTGCTTGACATTTTGTATGTTAATCTGTCCATTGATTAAAATGAAGTATTGTTTTGGAGTCTCTCTTTACATAAAGCAAATACTAGATATATTTGAGTGGTCTGATGTTCGGTTCATATATATTTACAACTGTTACATACTCTTGCTGAGTTGACCCTTTAATCAATATGTAATGTTCTGTTTTTTGGTTTTTTAATTAAAATTTGTTTCACCTGATAAATTCTCCTGCCCCCTTTGGTTGTTTGCATAGAATTATCTTTTTTTCAGTTGTTCACTTTCAGTCTGTATAGGTCTTTATCGAAAAGTAAGCTTCTTATAGGCAGCAAATAGTTGGATCTTGTTTGTTTTACATATATAGCCAGTAGTCAATCCTTTGATTGGAGAATTTAATCAATTTATGGTAATAACCCTGAGGTTTTTATTGATACATAAGAACTTAATTCCTGTGTTTTGTTAATTATTCTCTGTATATTCTTTGTTCCTTTCTACCAGTTATTGTCTTTGCGGTCTAGTGCTTTTCTGTAGAAATAACGTTTCTTTTTTCATTTGTGTTTCTCTTTTACTCTTTGCACGTTTTCACAATGGTAGTTATTATTCTTTCATTTGTAGATGCAAAATTCTGTTTAGCAATTCTTATAAGGCTAGTCTAGTGGTGATTAATTTCCTCATTTTTTGCTAGTCTAGGAAAGATTTCACCTTCATTTTTTAAGAATAGCTTTGCTGGATATAATATTCTTGATTTACTTTTTTCAGAGGGGAGTTCTTTATCCAAGTCTTCAAGTTCAGAAATTCTTTCTTTACTTGCTTTAGCCTATTGTTGAAACTTTGTTTTGTTTTTTTTACCTCGCCAGTTGAATTATTTAGTTTTGGGGTTTCTCTTGGGGTTTTTATGTTTTTATTTCTTCTCAAGTTGCATTTAGTCCATTGTTGCCCTTGTTCTTCTCTGTGATGCTAACAGCATAGTGCACTTCTATTCATTCATTTTGGATCCTCTTCCATCCCAAGATTAGATAAACAGCCCCTACATTTTTTGGAGGATATATTTCTTGCTTCACATTTTCTCAGATTTTTTAACTCTTTAAGAAGTATTCTTCAAATTGAGTTTCAGTATTGTCAATGAACTATTTCTTTGTTTAATAACCTATTAGCTTCTGTTGAGAAGCATTGTCATTAGAATGGTGTCATTTTGGGGTTGTCTTTATGAATATTTAAAAGTGGAATGGATAAGAATTTTGTTTCCATCAAATTCAACCTTCACTTTCTACTGTAGGTCGGAAGGTTTGACTGCTCCTCTTCACCAGACATCTGTAGCAATCTCTATGTTTTTCAGCCTTGTCTAGCAGTATTTAAAGGACAAGGAACCAAAGAATATGAAATTCATCATGGTAAGAATGGGAAAAAATGATAACTATCTTCTAATACAAATGTTCCATTTGTGTTTTTTACCTTGTTGTGTGTGGACATAATGTTTGTTCTCATTTGTTAGTAAATATGGGGAAAATCTTTTTAAATTAACATATTCTTTTTACCCTTCTTTTTAAAGTAAAACTTTTCACTGTTTCATCAAAAGTACTTTTGGTAACATGTCACAGTAGTGAGGAATTTATTTGCTTGTTGGCAGAAGCAAGCAATACCTGCAATTTCCAGTGTGCCACAGATAGCATCTTAGCCATTATAGACAATTTCTAGACATTGTTTTTGGATTTATCTGCTATTAGACTATCATACTTCTCCATTAACTGCTTTGTTATCTCTCTTGAATTTATAATTGCATCTCTATATTTCAGCTTATTTGGGACTTTAGTTTTCCTAGAGTTTGGAAGACATCAGAGTCCCTTCCCTGAAAGAGGACAAGTGTAGCGAAAGATACAAACCATCAACTGTAATACAGTTAAATGAATAACAGGTATTTATGAAATGCCTAATAGGTAACAAACACTCCGTTATTTGTTAGAGCTGCAAACTTGTAAGACATAAACTTTGCTCTCAAGAAGATTAAAATACAGTCTGGTAGGATCAGGAGAAGGGAGATGTATAATGAAACAAAAAATATTTTAATAGCCATTATTCATAAATTACAAGAAAAGTGCTATTTGAATTGAGTATAAAATGCTCAATTTCCCAAAACAAATATAGAGGTAAAAGAAGTTAAGCCCTCTGGGCTGAAGGAACTATATCAAAAAGGCTTGGCAAGATAACCCTTACAGTTACTACTAAGTTGTAATAACTTCATTACAACTTAAGATTTATTTCCATTTTCACAACCACTAGTAAATAAGAAAACAGCCTCAGAAAAATAAGCATCTTGCCCCATGAGAAAGAACTAGAAATGAGTCTAGGTAGATTTTGAATGCATTGTGTCTACTACGAAACCCTACAGTATAAGTGCTTATAAACTATGTCAGATCCTCAAAGTGCTAGAAATTACTAAATTTTTACAAAAGACGTTTATTCTTTTTCACCTCTGAAACTTCCTCAGACCTCACTCTTGTCAGTTTTCTGCCTTGTTTCAGGTTCATCACCTCCTTCATCTATTGTAAATATTTTCCTGTAGGACTATAGTTATCTTAGTCCTTCCTCCTGTAGTTGGTTCCTTATCTTGTTTGCAGAGTTGGTACCCAGAACACCATTTTCACATCACTTTTCTGCCTTGACTACAATTTCTTTTAGATTCAATTTCAGATTTCTCAGCATAGGAGCAATGACTTTGTTTTGCTCACTATTCTTTTTCTGGCACTTAGAATGGTACATAGTAACTCAGTAAGTAGTTGTGGTAAATGGAGTATTTTCATGGTCTGCCCAGTAATCATAGCTCCTACTGCTTTTGGATCCTTTCACTCCTTTATGTTTTCACATGTGATTTTTTTTTTTTTTTCTGCACTGTAACTCTTCTAGCTCCTCAAAATATTTTGTAAGCTCCAAATAATTCTTATAATAACTATAACTTAACATAGTTTCTCCCGCAGGAAGTATACTGAGCATCATTAAGCTCTAAATTAAAGGCATAAAAATAGGAAAAAAAGAACTTAAATTATCACTATTTGCAGGTGACATGATTCTATACCTAGCAGACCCAAAAGGCTCTACAAAGAAACTATTAGAGCTAATAAATGAATTCAGCAAAGTGGCAGGATATAAAATCAACACGCATAAATCAAAGGCATTCCTGTATATCAGCGACAAATCCTCTGAAATGGAAATGAGGACAACCACTCCATTCACAATATTCTCAAAAAAAAATAAAAATACTTGGGAATCAACCTAACAAAAGAGGTGAAAGACTTATACAATGAAAACTACAGAACCCTAAAGAGAGAAATAGAAGATCTTAGAAGATGGAAAAATATACCCTGTTCATGGATAGGCAGAACTAACATCATCAAAATGGCAATATTACCAAAAGTTCTCTATAGGTTTAATGCAATGCCAATCAAAATCCCAACGGCATTTCTTGTAGAAATAGAGAAAGCAATCATGAAATTCATATGGAAAAATAAAAGACCCAGAATAGCAAAAACAATGCTAAGCAGGAAGTGTGAATCAGGCGGTATAGCGATACCAGACTTCAAACTATACTACAGAACAATAGTAACAAAAACAGCATGGTACTGGTACCAAAACAGGCGGGTGGACCAATGGTACAGAATAGAGGACACAGAAACCAATCCACAAAACTACAACTATCTTATATTTGATAAAGGGTCTAAAAGCATGCAATGGAGGAAGGATAGCATCTTCAACAAATGGTGCTGGGAAAACTAGAAATCCATATGCAACAAAATGAAACTGAATCCCTTTCTCTCTCCATCCACAAAAGTTAATTCAAAATGGATCAAGGAGCTTGATATCAAATCAGAGAAACGTCGTCTGATAGAAGAAAAAGTTGGCTACGATCTACATACTGTGGGGTCGGGCTCCAAATTCCTCAATAGGACACCCATAGCACAAAAGTTAATAACTAGAATCAACAAATGGGACTTACTCAAACTAAAAAGTTTTTTCTCAGCAAAAGAAACAATAAGAGAGGTAAATAGGGAGCCTACGTCCTGGGAACAAATCTTTACTCCTCACACTTCAGATAGAGCCCTAATATCCAGAGTATACAAAGAACTCAAAAAATTAGACAATAAGATAACAAATAACCCAATCAACAAATGGGCCAAGGACCTGAACAGACACTTCTCAGAGGAGGACATACAATCAATCAACAAGTACATGAAAAAATGCTCACCATCTCTAGCTGTCAGAGAAATGCAAATCAAAACCACCCTAAGATACCATCTCACTCCAGTAAGATTGGCAGCCATTATGAAGTCAAACAGCAACAAGTGCTGGCGAGGATGTGGGGGAAAGGGTACACTTGTACATTGCTGGTGGGACTGCAAATTGGTGCAGCCAATTTGGAAAGCAGTATGGAGATTTCTTGGAAAGCTGGGAATGGAACCACCATTTGACCCAGCTATTCCCCTTCTTGGTCTATTCCCTAAAGACCTAAAAAGAGCATGCTACAGGGACACGGCTACATCGATGTTCATAGCAGCACAATTCACAATAGCAAGACTGTGGAACCAACCTAGATGCCCTTCAATAGATGAATGGATAAAAAAAATGTGGCATTTATACACAATGGAATATTACTCTGCATTAAAAAATGACAAAATCATAGAATTTGCAGGGAAATGGATGGCATTAGAGCAGATTATGCTAAGTGAAGCTAGCCAATCCCTAAAAAACAAATGCCTAATGTCTTCTTTGATATAAGGAGGGCAACTCAAAACAGAGCAGGGAGGAAGAGCATGAGAAGATTACCATTAAACAGGGACGAGAGGTGGGAGGGAAAGGGAGAGAGAAGGGAAATTGCATGGAAATGGAAGGAGACCCTCAGGGTTATACAAAAGTACATACAAGAGGAAGTGAGGGGAAAGGGAAAAATAATACAAGGGGGAGAAATGAATGACAGTAGAGGTGGTAGAGAGAGAAGAGGGGAGGGGGGATAGTAGAGGATAGGAAAGGCAGCAGAGTACAACAGACACTAGTATGGCAATATGTAAATCAATGGATGTGTAACTGATGTGATTCTGCAATCTGTATATGGGGTAAAAATGGGAGTTCATAACCCACTTGAATCAAAGTGTGAAATATGATATATCAAGAACTATGTAATGTTTTGAACAACCAACAAAAAAAATTAAAAAATAAAAAAAATTTAAAAAAAACTGTGGTTGTAACATAAAAAGTGAATTGGTTAAGGGCTGGGACAAATACCAGCATGGCTACTGCTGTAGGTAAATTGAATTCAGGTGGTGGCATTGGTGCTGAAGCTACGGTAAGAGAAAATAGATGAAGTTATGATACAAAGACAGAGAAGGCCACTCTGGAGAATCTTATTTAGCCATGTGGTTGATGATAAAAAAAAAAAGGTGGGAAAAGGAACAGAATTAGAAGGAAATGTGTTTGAAGTGTTTATGGGGTAGTTAATAATACAGGTTTTTATTCCTAAGACTAGTTTAGGTTGAAGAAACAGATGTAGTAGTTAGAGTGTGGTAAATAAAGAATTCAAAGAACACTATAAAGATTATTCTACCTCTGATGAAGAAACATTTCACAGAGGTCTTGTCATTTTAACTAGTCCAAAAACCAGAAGAGTGTGCAAGGAAGGGATACTCCTAATAGAGCCAATTTGTGTGCAATATACAGAACACTAAAACCTTTCCAAAATCAACATGTTGATAAAATATTAAAACAAGACAAACTTATCAACATGTTACACTCAAAATATTAAAACAAGACAAACTTGAGTGTAAAATTCTTGAATGTTTTTATGAACGTAAAAGGCATAATGCAGATTTTAAATTTTCTCTTACTCAATTTTAAAGGAAAGAAGATTTTATATGACATACTTGCCTTTGCCAAAGAAAGTGTTAATTCTCATGTTACCACACTTGGACCTCAAAATTTTCCTTCCAATGACAAAGAACCATGGCTTGTTGACTTTTTTGCCCCGGTAAGTTATTTTTAATCAGTCAGATTTCAGTATTGTCATATTTTCTCTCGTTATGACAAAAGGATATGATATATAAGATGATTTGACTGTTAATACTAGAACTACTACTTCGTGCTTCTGAATGAGTGCCAATGTAATTACTCCTCTGAGTATTAAGTATATACCCAGAACAGATGCCACTAAGTATAGTTTGTCTTACTTATTAGCATGTTGCTTGTTACAAGACTGAAGGGATTTGTTTCATTTGGCTCAGTGCTTATACTTTCTTCCTAGTGGTGTCCACCATGTCGAGCTTTATTGCCAGAGCTTCGAAAAGCATCAACACTTCTTTATGGTCAACTTAAATTTGGTACACTAGACTGTACAGTTCATGGACAACTCTGTAACATGGTAAGGCAAAGCATAAGAAATTTATTCTAATATTTTTGTAAAATAGAGACTTTGGGCAGTTTAATATTAAAACAAAGTACTTTTTCAAGTATACATTTTCTATTTGTAGTAGTAACCATTCCAACAAATTGATAAAATTATGATTGGATTAAATCATGAGTGGAAAACGTGGTTGAATATAGATAAGGTCTTATTTATCACAGTTAAGCAAATACTTTGACTAGATGATATGCTTGCAATTTTCCATTAAAGATCTTTTTAATACTACTTTTTGGTAGTTCAGTTTTTTTCCTTTGGCTTTCCCCATATTTGTTCTAAGTGTAGGTCACAGAAGGAAATTTTTGAAACTTTTGTTTACATGAAAATATTTTCTTAGGGTAAATATTCACTCCTCAGTTTCAACAAAAACCAGACATGTTACACCTCATGATGGAAGTATATAATACCATCTGTAAAATAATAATGGGGTTGCGGGGATGGAAATTGATCCTTAAGCAAATCAAATTTCCAGATCTGTGACTGCAGAGGAAACCCAATTGATACCATGAACACAAAACATACGAATCCTAGCATGTAGAGAACTTTTCAGGATACTCTATGTAACAAATTCAATTGAAGAGGGTGTAGGAGGAAAAATGAAAAAGACATAAAAGATTAACTAGAATGCAGTGGGTTTTTTCTTTTTTTTTTTGGGTGGGTGGGGGTGGGTATATTTCTTTTTAGTTATACATGACAGAGGTATTATACAAGCATGTAATGTATATTACTCCAAGACCCCATTCTTATGGTTGTACACAATGGTGGGATTCACTGTGGTGTATTCATATATGTACATAGGAAAATTATTTTGGATTCATTCCACTCTTTTCCTATCCCTCTGCCTTTTATTCCCCTTTGTCTAATCTACTAAATGTCTGTTCTTACCCTCTCCCCATTAATTATGGGTTTGCTTCCACATTCCACGTGTGTGAAAACATTCCACCTTTGGCTTTGGGGGCCTGGCTTATTTGACTTAGCGTAAAAGTCTTCAATCCATGGCAAATGTCATAAATTCATTCTTCTTATAGCTTAGTATACATATTCCACATTTTCTTTATCTATTCATCCATGAGGGGCAACTAGGTTGACTTCATAGCTTAACTGTTGTGAATTCTGCTACTTTAAATATCGATGGGGCAATGTCACTTGTAGTGTGCCGATTTAAAATTCTTTGGATATATAATGAGAAATGGGATAACTGCATCAAATGAGGGTTCCATTCCAAGCTTTCTTTCTAAAGACTCTCCATACTGCTTTTCAGAGTGGTTGCACCTATTTGCCACCTCACCGTCAATATATCATCCTCACCAACATTTATTGTTACTTGTATTCTTGATTGTTGCCGTTCTGACTATTGTGAGATGAAATTTCAGTGCGTTTTTCAGTGTAGTTTTAATTTGCATTCTCTAGTTGCTAAAAGTGTTGAACATTTTTTCATATATTTTTGACCATCCTTATTTCTGAGAAGTGTCAATTCAGTTTCTAACACAGGGTATCTGATTATTCGAAGACTTGCTAATTTTTAGATGTGAAACTAATACAATGGTTATATTACTTGGGAAAATCTTTGTTTTAAATATGCTATTGATGGATAGTATATGAATATGATAGATCTGAAATTTGCTTTAAAATAATAATTTTGGTAGGAGTAGACAGAAGGTATAGATGATATAAGAGAAGCCATTCTATAGATTATCATAACTACATGAGTACATGAAAGTATTTCCTTTCTATTTTTGTGATGTTTTGACTCAAACTAAAATGCTGAATGATGGAAAGAAGGGAAACAAAAAAATATATATATTGTGTTTTAAAAACAGAAGTAAATGTAGTAGAAAATCTTTATAGTATCTGTGTAGGGGAATAATTTCTTGCTTCCATACTTAAAGTACAAACTGTAAGGATAAAAAAAACTAATGAATTTGACTACATGTTTGAACTGTTACCAAAGTGACATTATGACTTTAGTAGTGATTGAGAATGCAAATTATATCAAAAATTAGCTAACTTCACCAAATGAACAAAAATTTAGAAATCTAACAAGAGCAGATAGATGGATAGTCACACTCTGGGATTGCAGAATATTTAAAAAGAGGTATATTGGGCTGGGGATATATGTAGCTTAGTGGTGGAGCACCTGGCTATCATGCACAAGGTCATGGTTTTGATCCCTGGCACTACAAAAAGAATATATACATACATATGAATGTATTTACCAGCATGGGTAAATCTCAAAAATATAAGGACCAAGTACAGTGGTCCACGCCTATAATCCCAGTGGCTCAGGATGCTTAGGCAAGAGGATTGCAAGTTCAAAGCCAGCCTCAGCAAAAATGAGGCACTAAGCAACTCAGAACTGTCTCTAAATAAAATACAAAATAGGGCTAGGGATGTGGCACAATGGTCGAGTGTCCCCGAGTTCAATCCCCAGTACCAGCCCCCCCCCCCCGCAATTTTTTTTGTTACATATTTTACATATGTGTGTGCGTGCGTGCGTGTGTGTGCGTGCGTGCGTGTGTGTGTGCGTGCGTGTAAGAAAAGCAGGTTAAAGAATAGCATAAAGTATGATAAAAATTTGTATATATTCAGACATTACCACATACTGCTTAAGAATATATACATATTAGGAAAAATATAAAAACATCAGTAGATACACACTAATTTCAGGATATTGGTGTACCTTGTAAGGGAGAAGGAAGTGAATGAAATTAAGAAAGAGAACATCAACAATCTGCAAGTATGGTCAGTTCATTCTTGTTAAATATAGGTGAGGGATATATAGGTTTGTTATCTAATCTTTGTTATTTTTATCTAATGTTTATTAGAAGGGAGAAAGATGTAGATGTTTATTAATTATTCTCTTATTTTCAGTAAGTTTGAATTTTTATTAAACTATGCTTTTTGGGGGTTTTAAGAAGTAAATAGGTCCTTCAGTTTCTAAAGTCATGTGGGACTTAGAAAATAAATGCCAACAAAAAATGCAAAATTATTGTGAAAAAAATTATTTTCTTTTGAATTCTTGTAGTTTTTCTACTTTTACACCTATGATGTGATATTTAATGACTTGAGATAAAGAGTCTAAAATATGGGGTATCAGATTCACTTGAAATAGAAGTGAGTTGCTACTCACTAGTTGATTCACCTTGGCCATGTCATTAGCCTCTCAATAACTCAGTTTCCTCATCTTTTAAGGTGGTTTTGAAATTTTAACTGCTAAGCAGAACTGAGTTATAAATGAGAAACCACATGTTTAGTGCTTGACACTAAACTTGTTAATCCAGTGAATTATTTGAATTTGTACATTTTTCAAAACTTTGATAAATGTTGCCGCTGGTGGTTGTTGTTGTTTTTTTTTTTTTTTTTTTTTTCCTGAAATTAAGCTTCTAATTTGCTAGCCAGTGTTTATCTCCTTGAAGCCTGCAAAGATCAGCTGTAGCAAATCTGCAGATAGGGGTCCCTAACTTCTTCAAAAATGAAAACTGGCACCCATATTAATTCTGAGGAAGAAATAAAGCATTTTTTAATCATGAAGATTATCTTGCATATAGAATAAAAGGTGACCACATTCTTAGGGCATGATTCATAATTCTTACCTGAAAATAGTTATGTGTAGCCAGCATGGTGGCACATGCCTGTAATCCCAGTGGCTTGGAAGGCTGAGGCAGGAGGATCAGTTCTGAAGCCATGCTCAACAACTTAGACTAAGCAATCTGTTGAGGCACTTTCTCAAAAAGGACTGGTGATGTGGTTCAGTGGTTAAGTGCCTCTGGGTTCAATCCCTAGTACCAAAAGAAAGTTATGTACACATTAATTTTTTATTTCTTTATACTTGCTGTTTTGTTCACGTGGTCATCAGCTACCTCTAGAAAAATGAGGAGTTCGTAACTATGATTTCAAAAAAGCAACTGAAATTAGAAATATAATCTACTTTTTATAGCTTCTTCCCATCTTTGTTTAGTAGGACAAAAAGAAACAAATCACATAATTACCCATGCTCACTTAATGTTTCAGTGCCTTTGATTTTTAAGGCTCAAGAGTAGCTATAAAGAAGAAATCAGTTATTTCTTTGCTAAATTTGACTAGGTTAAAATTTTTCAGCCGCCAGAAATTCAGTGGGTTTTTTTTTTAAATCTTGTTATTGTCTCTTAAAGGAAAACTGGTTATAAATTTAAAACAAATTGGTAAGATATATAACATCTTTGTTCAATTTTTATTCTCCTTCCTAACAGTATAACATTCAGGCTTATCCAACAACAGTGGTATTCAACCAGTCCAGTATCCATGAGTATGAAGGACATCACTCTGCTAAACAGATCTTGGAGTTCATAGAGGTATTTTACATTACAGCCTCTGACTAGAAATCCTTCTCTGTATATGTACATTGTGAATGAATAATAATGTTTAATAATGGGACTTACTCTTTTTTATGCTACGATATTTTCTGACAAGGAAATTTTTTGTCTATGTTGTGTTTTTTTGCCTAGAATACCTTGTGCATAACAGATGCAGCTATTTAATAAATACATGAAATCATGCTTTCACATAGAATTTTACCCATACCCTTGGCTTGTTCTCTCTGAGCACAGCAATTCCAAGACTCCTACTTAGTAAAAGTACCCTGCAACTGCAGCATCTAATTCCCTTCGTATAGTCTTAACTAAAATTGTTATAGGGACCTCCTAAGAAAGGATAAATTCCAGCTTATTATTTTCTATTTAATGACCATCCTACTCTATTTTACTTATCTAAGCCCTTCTCCTTCAAAGTAATGTTTTGGTTTTTTTTTTCAGTGTAGCTGACCACTTTTGTTAGTATTACCTGATCATTATATACTGAAGCTTTATTGAAATAGCATTTAAATACGTGCTCTCTAAATAGGTTGTGCAATCTCCAATCAAAATGAAAAATAAAATTATGAATGGCAAATTTATTAAAAGGTCATTTCCAAGCCAGTTTTTCTTGTTTCCTCAACAGAACTATATATGGCCTAGAGTTAATTCTTAGAACTCTATTATATTATCTACTCATAATAAATAAAGTTGCCCCTTTTCCCAGCCCAAGAAATAAGAGAAAACCATACCCTGATTTAAGAAAACTAAAAATCCTAAATTTGGATTTTGCTTAGTTATCATTTTCATATTAAAAACAATTTACTATAGATTTTTCTTAAATTTCCTTTAGCATTTTTTCCTTTCTCTACAGCAGGAATTTTTTTTTTGTTTTCGGTTTTTTATTAGTTCTTTTAAGTTATGTATGACGTTAGAATTTATCTTGACATAATTATAAAAACATGGGATATAACTTGTTTTAATTCAGTCCCCAGCACTTCCCCTTCACCACCCTTCATTCCACCTCCCATTCCCTTCCCTCTATTCTACTGCTCTTTCTAAATCAAGAACTTTCTGAATGACACATACCAGCAATTTTCTAAAGAATATATCAACAACTCTTCTTGTATGTCTAATGTAATAGCATATGTTTTCTTTAGGATCTTAGGAATCCTTCAGTGATCACTCTTACACCGTCCACTTTCAGTGAACTAGTTAAACAAAGAAAACACGACGAAGTCTGGATGGTAGATTTTTATTCTCCGTGGTGCCATCCATGTCAAGTCTTAATGCCAGAATGGAAAAGAATGGCCCGGGTATAGTAAAATCATTTATTTAAAGTCTTACCACTTAACAAAGAATGTTTATTTAACAGTTATTCTGAAAACAGCTCTGATCATACCATTAAGATTCTACCTCTATTTCTATTATGCAAACTGTACAAAATAGTCTACCTTTTTTGGTGTGGTATCTGGTACACTTTTGACCAAATTCTTACCAGTGTCCCCTTCTGTTTAATTTTTTTCTACCATTTTATTTTTAGAGCTTAAAAATTAGTAAAAATAGCCTTGAGCAAAAAAAAATTAGAAAATTTTCTACAAATAGGCACAGTGTGGCAAATTACAAAAGATTGGAAACAAATGTTTAAATGCCAGAAAAGAAAGTGTAATTGAAGTTATTTTTAATATCTTCATATTGAATATTATGTTTTTATGCTCTTTTCAATAAATTTTAATTTGGGTGAGACCTTTGAGTCAAAGAAGACCTGTAATGATTGCCTCCATTAGAAAAAGTAATTCTTTGAAATACCATTGCAGAGAGCTTCCTTTAGTGTTGAGTTTTTAAACACTAAATTTTAGAAATAAATTTTTTTACGTAATTAATGGATGAATTTAATTATTTAACCTGCAGTAGTTGTGGAAAGTGATTATTAGATTTCAAATTCCCTAGCGTAAATGGTCTGAGTTGAGTCCTTAGTTGTTATTTGGCGATAATCACTGGCAAATAATAATTTCATAGTAGGGCTGGGGATGTAACTCAATGGTCGAATGCATTCTTAACATTCATGAAGCCCTGGGTTCAATATAGAAAAGGAGGTAATTTTATTCTAATCATTGATATATGTATACCATTTTCTTTTATAGACATTAACTGGACTGATCAATGTAGGCAGTGTAGACTGCCAACAGTATCATTCTTTTTGTGCCCAAGAAAATGTTCAAAGATACCCTGAGATAAGATTTTTTCCCAAAAAATCAAATAAAGATTATCAATATCAGTAAGTATTCTCTCAAATTTGAAAACATTTATTATAAACATTTAATTATACAAGTAACATCTAAGTTATCCTAACTAAATAGAAATTAGCCTAACAAATATTTATTGGGAACCCACCATGTTTAAGATAGTGTATTAGTGAGCACTTCAGAAGACAAAGAATTGAATAGTAAGACATTTGAAGAATCTTAATAGTCTGGTTTCAGGCACTGTACTCATATTATTTCCAATAATCCTCACATATGCTCTGAGGAAGGAATTACTACCCTTCCTACTATTTCAGAGAAGAAAACAGATTCTTAGCCTTTAGAAAACTTTCCGAAGTCACATTCCTACTAAGGTTTGAAGCTGAGTTTTGAACCCAGGCCTAATTTGAATCCAGGCTGTCTCCAACCACAACATGGTATTTCATATAAAAAACTCAAATGTAGAATATGATGAATGTTATTTTTAAAAGTCAAAATGAGCCATGTGTTTCAAAGGAGGAGAGAATCACAGCTGTGGGGAAAGTGCATTTTTGAGATAGCTTTTGACATGCATCCTAAAGCAGATGGGAATTTTATAGCTAATAACTTGAATAAAATTTAGAAACTCCTAAAGGTTTGGACATTTTGAATTTTGAACTTCCTGTAGGGCTGCAGAGATGTTCAACATTCTGGTTTATCTGAAGCAGAAAAAGATAGTAGGGCTGGGGATGTAACTCAATGGTAGAATGCATTCTTAACATTCATGAAGCCCTGGGTTCAATCACCAGCACCTCTCCTCTTCCCTAAAATAAAATAAACCAAGAAAAATAATATTTTGGAAGCCATGTAATCAGTATTTGTAGCTAGGTATTTCTTAGAAGAAAGATGTTAACTAAATGTATTTTTAAAATTGCTAAAAATAAGATTACTTTCTGAATATATCTAATAACAAAAAATACCATTTGCATCTTACCTTTTTTTCCCTCTTTTTTTAGTAGTTACAATGGTTGGAATAGAGATGCTTATTCCCTAAGAATCTGGGCTCTAGGGTGAGTAATCAAAGTTCATTGTATAAAATAGTCAAATCAATTTACCTTCCTCATAGGTGTATAGTTAAATTTCTGTGGATTAAGAGTCTAGCATTTAAAATTACTTAGAAAAGGATTATATTTACCACAATAAACTGAACTTTATTACATTACTCTTCTTTGGAATAATTTTTAACCTAGCCTTACAATATTATTAGTGTTTGCTTTGGCTTTATTTAATGAAAAGTTATTTTGATCCCTTTTCACAGATTTTTACCTCAAGTATCCATAGATTTAACACCTCAGACTTTCAGTGAAAAAGTTTTACAAGGGAAAAATCATTGGGTGGTTGATTTCTACGCTCCTTGGTGTGGGCCTTGCCAAAATTTTGCTCCAGAATTTGAGCTCTTGGCTAGGGTAAGTCTTGTCTATATTCTTAAGTTGTAGTCATATGCATGTTTTAGTAATTGGTTAAAACAAATATAATTCGTAATTTAGTTGTAAAGTTTCTTCTGAGTTTTGGAAAACTATTCCATTTCTGTGATGCTAATCTTTGCAGTTGATTTCTTTTTAATTGAAGCTTTCAGCCAACATTTTCTATTTTGGCTGGTAAAATCATCCTCTACCTAGCCATAAACATCAGAAACAAACACAAGATCCTATCAGTTCTGTCTCCTAAATGTCTTTCAGATCTGTCATCTGTCCATCTCCACTGCTGGCTTCATTTGTGTAAGCCTTCATCTCTCACCTAGTCTTGTCATACTTGCCATTGTTCCCTGTGCAGTGCTGCCCTGGTGATCTTTCTAAAACAGTGCCTTCTCTGGCAAGTTAACCAGGTTCTTTCATGTGTATTTAACTTCAGGTCTCTGGTCTGATTCTTCCCGCCTCTCAGCTTTACCTCTGCCCTATAGCTCACACTATAGGTTCTCTGAACATGTTTCTTTATGTGCTGCTCTGTTCCTGAAATGTCCCATCTTTACCTTGGTTCCCTGAATTGTCTTTTCCTCATCCTGTGAAACCCACCTCCAATGCCACTGGTTCTGTGTCCTCTGCCTATCTCATTAAATCAATGTTACCTAGATATCATATATTCCAACAGTGTATTTATGCAGTGCACACTATTTGTGTATTTATCTATCTCTTGCAGAAGACTGAGGTTCTTGTCTTATCCTTGTATTCCTAGTGCCTGACTCAGTAAATGCTTATAAAATTGAACTGGAATATGTAACTCAATGCAGTCTGAGTTCTTGATGTTTCTGTCATAACAGTCATATTGATGACCTATTCCAAATTCATAGCTTCCTTGCCTTCCTTACATAACTCAAGGAACTCAGAGTTGTTGGTTCATGACACTCAGAATGAAAATTTTAAAATCAACACCAGTTCCACCAATCTGAAATAAAAATATTTGTGTCCCATGCCAAAGGAATATTTTTTAGCAGAGGGATTGTTTTTGAAAGGTTCTATAAACTGTAAAAGATTAATGACTGGTTCTTCAAATAAGAGGTTTTCATTCTTTCCACCTAATCAAATGTTTTCCTCATGATTCCTTTTCTCAAAGAATTTACCAGTGTTTTACTCCCTCATCCCTTATGTACTGAAAACAGCTTTGTTATAAATTTTGTGATGCAGTTATTCCTGGAACATAGCAGAAAACTATTAAACATGAGGAGGATCACTCATTCAACAAATCCTGAGCATCAAGTAAAAAGCACTCTAGATACTATGGCTGCAATGATGAAAAGCCATATTAAAGGAAGTTAAGCTAGTGGGAAGATTAAATGCAAATAAATATAGATGACACAGCAGGGTAATTGCCATAATAAGATTAGAATGAAGTTATACCATGAGCAAATATATACTAGGAGGAAACAAAAATCTATACAGGAAAGTTAGTATTTGAGGTAAGAATTACATGACTTAGCGCTTGAAAGTATTGGCTAGAGAGTACTCTATACAGAAGACAGTATTTGCTTATGTACCAAGAAGTGAGAAAAGCAGTTCTGGAATATTTATTGTTAGTGTAGTATTAACAGAGTCCAAACATGGAAGGTGAATAGTAAAACTTGAAGCTCAAAAAAACGGGCAGGAACCAGGAGTTTAGTCCTTTTTGCCATACTATCAGAATGCACATTCTACCTCAGTGATTACATACCATTTAGAATATCTTCCTTATTAATAGTAGGGGAGAACCATTGGTTATGGCAGGAACCCATTTTACATTTTAGAAAGGTTACCTTGATGGACAAACAAGAGCCAACAGAAAGATTTTTAGAGCACCGAAAATAATATGGGGCCCTCCCATGAATTATTTTAAAAATACAGGTAAACTGAAACAGAAATTTTTTTAAATCACACTTTTAGATTTCTCAAACCTTCAATATGAGATTGGGGTGTGTGTGTGTGTGCACGCGCACGTGGGCCATATACATGCTAATTCCTGCAACTTTGCTGGTATCCTAATACAAATTTGTGTGTCCCAATAGGTTTGAAGATCAAAGTGGAGGTAGCAGAGATATTTTAATCGTCCCTAAGTGAGAGATAACTTGAACCAGTATTAGGGCAGTGGTGATGGAAAGAAGGGGAAAAATATGAGAGAGATAAGAATAAACAGAATTTAATGTTTGCTATAGACGAGAAACAGAAAAGTCTAGGATAACCCTAGTTTCTGGCTTGAACTGAGTGAATGGTAGGATAGGAAAAGTAATATGTTAAGGGCAAAGGATCAATTTTAGGCAAGTTGTATCTAGGGGTACCTATGAGACATTCATGTAAAGTAAGCAGATTCACAGTTGAATGTGAAGTCAAAGGGAGAAATTGGGGTTCATCAGCACAGTCATACATAAAATCACCCTGAAACACTGTTTATAAAGAAAAGATTGTTGGCCAAAGATGGAACTCTGATCAGATATTACAACTTGAGGGTAAAGGAGCTTACCATGCTGGAAAAAGAAAGGAGAGCACAAGGAGCAGTGACAAATGCCAAGAGGAGAAGGAATAGTTAGCAGTGTCCTAAAATGACCAAAATGGTGTTAGGTAGAGGTCACTGATAATCTTAGAACAGTTTTGAGTAAATGGAGTAATAAGACCAGAAACCAGACTGAAATGGTGAAAGAATAGACTGCTGCTTAGGGAAAAAAAATGAGACAGATGGATGCTGGTAGCTTCAGGAATCATTGCCATCCTTGTGTGATCACATGTGTATATACTGAAAGGAATGAGAGACCTGATAGGAAGGGACTAAGAAATTTTAAATATATAAAGGATGAAGTAATGTCATATTGTTTTATGGTTGCCAGAACAGTTTATGCCAAAGAGGAAAAAATGGCAAAACATATTTTTGGTTTTTCAGATGGTTAAAGGAAAAGTGAAAGCTGGGAAAGTAGACTGTCAGGCTTATGCCCAAACATGTCAAAAAGCTGGTATCAAAGCCTATCCAACTGTTAAATTTTATTCCTACGAAAGAACAAAGGTATGTATAGGCTTTCTGTTTTTCTTTTTTAGCATGACAATCTCCAAAGGGAATTTGTTCAGTCTGAATACTGCTTTCTTCCACTTTCTTCTCCATTTGTCATTTTTTAATATTATTAGAAGAAGCTTTTTATTTAGGGGATCTTAAAAAAGATTTGTCTTATTGATAGGACCTCAGTTGCCTTGAAATTTTTATGCTCATGCATAAAGAGACCTAACAAAATATTAACATGGTTAGGTGGTAGAATTCAAGGTACTTATTTTCTGTGAAGTTTTTTTTTTTTTTAATTCGTTTTTTAATTTTGTTTTTTAGTTGTTTATGGACCGTTTATTTTATTTTTTTATTTTATTTATATGCAGTGCTGAGAATTGAACCCAGTGCCTCACACATGCTAGGCAAGTTCTCTACCACTAAGCCACAACCCACAGCCCTTCTGTGAAGTTTTGTATTTTGTATCCCTATCCTTTTTTTTTGTTGGGGGGGGGGGGATTAAGGATTGCTTAAACATTGAACCATATCCCCAGCCCTTTTTCATATTTTATTTAGAGCCAAGTTCTCACCAAGTTGCTTAGACCCTTGCTAAATTGCTTAAGCTGGCTTTGAACTTACAGTCCTTCTGCCTCAGCCGCCAGAGCAGATTACAGGCATGCACCACCACACCTGGCTGTATTTCTATACTTTTATAGAATGAATATGTATTTTTAAGTTCTATGAAAACTTAAAAGAATACTTTTATTGTACTTTTGAAATAGCCTTAGTAATGAGCATATATCTTCAGGAATATTCATTAGGGACTTAGATTACAAAATAAAAATTTGGGTCCCTTGTTTAAGTCATAATTACTTGTGGGCACGACTAACAGTATACTTTTTTGTTTTTTCATTTGTTATTACTTAAAAGCAAAACTAAGGTTCTACTAGTGAGGTGCTTTTAACAAAATGCAAGTGAGTGATCACTGATACAGAAGCTGTCTTTTAGCCAGTGTAACTTGGTAACTGAAAGTACTTGTGACTTTTGTTTTCCAAAGTAAAAAAGTTTCCTGACAAGCTATGATACTATTTTAATAAGAATTTCTCTATTCTTTCAGACAGTAGAAGACTAAATTTCTTATACTAAATTAATTTGTAAGTAAATGAAGTGATATAATTCAGTGGTAGAACACTTGTCTGACATACACAGGTTCTAGATTTAGATTCCCAGCACTGAAGAAAAAAAAAAGTAATGAAAGCATGATGAGAATGATGAACAAGTATAAAAACAACCAGGTTTTTTTGTTTTTTTTTTTTAAAACCCAACAAGTAAAAGGAGGAAGACTAAGGAGATTATATAGTGTGGTGAAAAATAAAATGTATTCTCTTGTAGGATCCTAGAAAAAGAAAGAAAATAATGTACCTATGAATATCACTTAGCTACAAAAAAGAAAAAAAAAAAATATTTTCTATTCCAAAAGTAGAAAGAGGATTCTAATTATAATAGGTAAAGCTAAAATTAAAAAAAAAAAGGTGTGGAAAAACTAAATGACACTGATGTCCAGTAAAATCCAAATTAAGGAAGGCAGATTTGAGTGGTCTTCTTAAGTAAATGGGTGGTATTCTACCCAGAATGCAGCTAATGACAAAGTTATTAATCTTGATGATGTGGCCAGTTGAACAAAAAAAAAAAAAGAACAATTGTGTCTCAAAAGGTTATATAGTGACTTAAGAACACCTGTAATACATACTATACTTCAAATATTTACTTTCAGAATTTCTATTCAAAATGTTCTATGCTGCTTGAATTCATTTTCAAGTAATGAGCTTACTTTGGAAGAAAAAAACTGATAAAACAAGTATTTGCCATGTACTATTTTCTGGCAAACTATTCAAAGTAAATAATTCCAAATGTTTTTATGCTTTTTTAGGGAGACTAACCAGGTTAACACCTGATATTATTTATTGATAGTTATAATACATTTGAAATAACTAAAGAAATTAGGTAACAAATTTTAGAAACCTAGAATTATCACAAATCTAGGTTTTTCAGTGAAAGATTTATCAAGAATTGATCTCTGGGGCGGGGATATAGCTCAGTAGTAGACAACTTGCCTAGCATATTTGCAGGTAAACTGCACCATGGAGGTAAGATACCCCAAAATATTCTTTTGGAGTCAATTGTTCTATCTTAAGTTTTCACAATAACTTAGAAATGGGTGACATAAATCGGTGTATTATTCAGGTAGAATGATCCTAGCAAAGTATTGATACAATGAGAAGTCAGACTGAACCAGGACATAAAGGTATTTGAAAAGATGATATTACTATGTATCCAGAAGACAAAGTTAGGGACCACAGGTCTCTGTCCATACTGAAAGATGGGTAATCCAGAAGTTCAGGCCAGAGAGGAAAACCAAAGCAGAATAATGATTGAAGTAAATGAATGCAAACAACTCACAAAAGCAAAATGGTAGCATACAGTTTGGGATTAACAAAGAATAAGAAACCAGTGGCTTAAGATCTAAACTAAGCAGGTCTGGATACAGTGACCTGCTCCTGCCCCTGATTTTCAGCCATCCTCTGGCGTGGGCAGATGAAAACTAGGAGATACTACTTGCTTTCCCTTATTATAGTTTAGAATGATTTCAGCCCTAGGGATATCTTTTCTTATTCAGTTTATGTTGTTTTGTTGTTTTTTTTTTTAAGAGAGAGAGAGAATTTTAACATTTATTTTTTAGTTTTCGGCAGACACAACATCTTTGTTTGTATGTGGTGCTGAGGATCGAACCAGGGCCGCACGCATGCCAGGCGAGCGTGCTACCGCTTGAGCCACATTCCCAGCCCCTCAGTTTATGTTTTTTGAGGTCAGCAATGCATTTTTCCCATATGACCTCAAAGAAATCTGAATTTCAGACACTTAAAATTTTAGAACAAAAGAACTTCAAAGCATATTTAACCTAGTTTCTTAGACAGAAATATTGCATTTTGATTTAGTATTTAATGATAATGTTTTTAATTTTAGAAAAATATTTGGGAAGAGCAAGTAAATGCCAGAGATGCAAAAACAATTGCTGACTTTATTCATGGAAAATTGGAAACTCTTCAAAATCAAGGAAAGAGAAATAAGGTGAGAACTGAACCTAGAACTAACTGGCAAAAGTTACCAAAATGTATTCTCAGTAGGCAGTTCATGTAAAGTGAAGCTTAACAAATATATAAAAATGGAAATTTCTACTTTGGGAAATATATCAATTAAAACATAGCCTTTAGACACTGAAATGCTTAGAAATTTGTACAAGTAACACCAGTTAGCAGAAAATAATGACTAAGATCCATGCAAAAACTTGTATGTGAATGTTTAAACATTCGCAATAGGAAAAAATGTCCATCAATATTTTATTCATTACTGAATGAATAAAATGTGGTGTTTATCTATGCAATGGAGTAATTTTTAGCCCTAAAAGGAGTGATGCTTGCTACTTAAGTAACTTTGAAAACCTATGCTTTGTCAAGGAAGCCAGTCATAGAATCATATGTGGCCTTTTATCTATATGCAATGTTCAGAATAGGTCAATTCAGAGACAGAATGTAGACTAGTGGTTGCCTGGGGTAGAGTGGAAAAGAGCAGAAATTGGGGGTGACTGCTAATGGGTGAAAGTTTCTTTTGGAGTGTGGTCTGTTCTAAAATTAGTTGCTCAACTGTAGATATTATAAAAAACACTGGACTCCTTTAATTGTGGGAATTTTATGGCATGTTAAATGTATAATAAAGCTGTAAAAAAAATGAGTTGGCCATTAACTACTTAAATTTATTCAAATATAATTGTTAGGAATAAATATACTAAAGCCCCAACACATTTTGGATAGCAAATTTTCTTTTGTTCTTGGTATAATCAAAATGTATGTTTAAACCCATTATTCATCTTGGTTCCTCCTTGAATTTTTAATGTATTAAGCAGCATTATAAACTTTGCTGTTATTCTTCAAAAGGCAGTTCATTTCTTTCCTCCCAATTCAGTGTCATTCTAGGGAGTACTTAGAAACAGACCAAAGAGTTGTGAATATTAGAGTAGTTTTTGAATGGAATTTAATACAATCACATATGAATTATCTTGGGTTCTTTCTTTTTTTAATATTTATTTTTAGTTGTAGTTAAACATAAATAAGTGAAATAAAGGTATTGTGTCTATATGGTGCTGAGGATCGAACCCAGGGTCTCACAAGTGTGAGGCAAGCACTCTCCCACTGAGCCACAACTCCAACCTCGGGTTCTTTCTTCATAAGGTTAAAGACAACAGCAAAATCTCTGGAGAACTCTAAAGAAATCTAGCTTTTTACAACCCATTAGAATACAGGTTCTTTTTGCCTGGCCTGGTGGGCATACCTGTAATCTCAGCAACACTGGAGGCTAACGTGGGAATTTGCAAGTTCAAGGCCATCCTCAGCAACTTAGTGAGACCCTGTCTCAAAATAAAAAGGGATAGGGATGTAACCCAGTGGTAAAGTACTCCTGGTTCAGTCCCCAGTATGAAAAATAAAGGACACAGGTTCTGTTATAATCCAGTTAAAAATTGTTAGACCCCAGTAAAGAAAGCCTTACAGCCTGCTTCCCAAGTATTTTATCCAAATCTAGAGGTGAGGAAAGAAAGTTCTACAGAAATAGTTCTATATTTTCTTGTTTTAAAGTTTAGTCTTAAAAAAGAATATCATAACTGAAATTAACTTTAAAAGCATGCCAGATGTGATTTAATGTATCTGTTGGTGTCAGGTGCAAACTAGGAGGTATTCTGTTTTTGGTTTTTTCCCTTCCCATTGTTACAATTAAGAAAGGTATGTTTCATGGTTATTCATTAAGAATAATGAGTACATTTAAAAAGGTAAAATGTTGGTTAGTTTATATTTCACCTTATTGTAAACATTATATTCATGCTTTTCAATCACCTTTACATTATTAACACAGGATGAACTTTGATGTTGAAAAATGGAAGAAAAATTGAAAAGAAAAAAAAAGTCTGAAAATAGCATCAGAAGACACCTTTTAATAAAGAATGCTAACTATGTTCCTGGTGGAAATTAATGAACATTACCTTGGACATGTAATTGCACTGCCTGAATTCTGAACAACATTGGTATAAAATGAAAGGTCTGCAAACTTCCTGTAAAGGGCCAGATCATAAATGTTTTAAGTTTTGCAGACCATATATGGTTTTTTGTTAAATTTTCTTTGTTGTCTGTAATGATCCTTTTAAAAAATAGAAAAACCATTCTTAGCTCAGGGCCATACAAAGTATAAACCATAGTCCAAATTCAGTCTTTGGGCCTATAGTGCTAACTCCTAGAAATGGTGTTTTGAATGTCTGGCTCTAATGAGTCTACTCTGCTGTTATCTACATACTGTACAAAGTGGATTTTTTTTTTTTTTCCTCCCCACTTGCAGTATTTTGGCTGGCCTGGAAAGAGGCAAGTTGGTTTCTGGTCACCTCCTAAAAACCATGTCTGACCATATATTTTGTTTTTAAAAAACACCCATGCAATAGAAAAATACAGATACCTGTTTTCATGCTGTATCTCCATTTCATCTTTTAAAGGTTGAAGAAATGCTTTAAATTTTTCATAATTGAAAAAACTTTTTGCAACACTTGTAAGTGCAAAAAAATGCTATAGACTGCCCTATCATCTGGAAAAAAAAAAAAAATCCAAGGGGGAAAAAATTACAACAATTAAATGGGCATTATAGAGTACCTACCCCCAAATATATCAAGTATTTAGAGCTCTATATTTTAAAGATTTATTTTTCTGAAATTGTTTTCATAAAAATTTTGCCACTGATAGATACCTCCAATATTTACGTAATTTGCCTTTTGAGTTTTCTTTTGACCTGTATCATTTATTTACACTAATTTCCCCCATAGTTATGGTTTTCAATCTATTCATTATTCAAATAGGAAAGATAATTTCAAAGACTTTACTGTAGCTCACATAGATACTGTGTGGTTATTTATTCCAGTTATTCGTTTACTGTCAGGGGCTGCTTATTCAGATATTGGCATAATAACTGAAGTTATTTTTTTAAGAAAATCAAGTATATAATTCTAGAATGGGATCTTTTAGTTTCAGAGTTGTTAAGACTCAAAGTTTTTTCCTTCCATTTTAACAAAACTGAGTAACCTGTAGTTGTTTAGTTATAATTCAAAATATATGGAGTGGTACAAATTTAAATTGATCAGAAGTCAATAAAAGAATCTTTTTTCATTTTCCAAAAACCTATTCATATTATGGTTTATTGTGTTGGAAGAATTTTGCTTATCACTTTAAGACAAAATATTGGGGAGCAGGATAAAGACTACTCTAGTTATACAAAAAATAATAGACCTATTCATTTTCAACTCTAACCCTATTCATATTCTCTCCCATATTTTTGTTTATATTTTTAACTCCCTACCTTGGATTTTGCTTTTTCTACATATCAGCTCATGGAACAGTAACCACTTCTAACCTTAAATTTACCAGCAAATTTTTAAATTACAATTGATAATGTAAGAGTCTTTTACTCATTAATTAAAGCCTTCAATTCTTCAGAATTGACTTATTTCTACAAGGATCCCAAAAAGAAACGACTGGAAAGTATGTACTAAACACACCAGTACATGCATACTACTACTTTTGCACACTGAGGAATGTGCAAAAGGAATGTAAGTCTTGTTCCTGGTCTTCCAGGTGTCTGATTCAGAGTTCTGTTCCTGAATTCAAGTGTGTAAGGACTTACATTGTTACCTATAAAATTATTTCCTATACCAGCTGAGAAACATTTTTAGGCAGTAAAAAAGTCAATATTAATTTGGCTTACATCATGTGCCTATGGAATCTGCTACAAAGCCAGGAACCCCCAGGAGTCAGATTAGGTAACCTGTATCATACATACATACATCAGGAAGTTTTCTATAGTCATATCAATGTCATTTGGATCTGTCAAAACAGCTGGAAGATTTGAGGGTTTTTTGTTTGTTTAGCTACTAGAGATTAAACAAAGGACTTACACATGCTAAACATGTGCCCTACCACTTAACTTTTTTCGTTTTATTTTTTGGCGAGTTTCCTAGGCTGACCTCAAACTTGGAATCCTCCTGCCTCAGCCTACCAGGAAGCTAGAATTACAGATGTGCACCACTACACCCAGTGGACTTAGGTTTTTAACAGTATCATTCATTCAGTAGACTATCATTAAGGAGTGGCAGGCATAAGGTGCCATTTCTTCCAACACACCATTTTTGTGAGTCTGTTCTTGTGTAACACGGTACTAATTCTTAAAGTATATGACTACTTGGAGCTGGTGTTTTGGACACTAATGATGTTTGCTTATTCTAGTTTTCCCGATTTTAAAGTATATGATTAAGGGCCTGTTGTGGTGGCACAGCATATAATTGCATCTACTTGAGAGGATTAGGCAAGAGGATTGAAAGTATGAGACCATCCTGGGCTACTTAACAAGACCCTATCTCAAAATATTTTAACAAAGGCTACAGAAGTATTCAGTATTAGAACACTTGCCTAGCATGTCTGAAGCACTAGGTTCAATCCCTAGTATTGCCAAGAATAAAAGTATAATTAAAATAAAGCAAAAATGAAGTAGTAGTTGTATAATTTACCTTTTTTATTCTAAAGTTTTCTTTAAATTGTTCTTTGTTTTTCTGTAGTGATCAAAGTGGAAATTTTCTTGGAAGTAGTTCAAGAAAAAAGTACCATTGTTTCTCACAACAATTTGCAAAGATGTTTAGTATAATAAAAATTTTAATGAAGGAGTAGCATTTTAAGCCAAATATTTAATACAATTTTGGTATAATTTTAGTCTAGTCTTAATCCTTTGAGTCTGCCCACAAAACCAAATGTTTCAAATTGGGCACATTGATTCCATCATGACTATTAAATAGTACAAAAGTTAGATTAACAAAATTTTCTAAAATGATACCTACATAAAATTGTCTGACGAAAAGGAAACCTTATTATCTTTGATAATATTCTACCTTACACATGTGAAAAATTTTAAATACATCTAAATTCTAATAGTGAATAAGCTTGTTTTTAGTAATAATAAAACTGAGGCCAAACACCAACCTAGGTTATAAACATAGTTTTGATAGTCCATAAAAATATTATCAATTCACTAACTTGAGTCATTTTTCTACTTAACATTGGATTTCAATTCTTTGACTATTCTAGTAGTTCCTCCTTCTGTTGGTTTTTATCTTTATTTTTTATTTCTTCTTCATGAAATATTGAGTACGTTTTGTAGTACAGGCTTTCTAGTTGTGAATTTGATTCTCTAAAAGAATTCAATTTAAAACACCAGAACAAAAAATCAAAATGAGAGGAAATACTCATCTCTCAATAACATTGAATGTAAATGGTCTAAACTCTAAAATCAAAAGACATAATTGAGATATTGGATTTATTTTGTTTATTAGCAGTTTTATAGAATTTTCATTATTTTCCCCCTTTAATACACCTGGATACCAACAACCTATTTCATACAGTTGAGAAAAGAAGTATTTCTAGAATGATTGCCTCAAACTTTATTTTTCATGTAATTTTTTTATTTGTTCTTTTCAGATATACATGACAGTAGAGTGTATTTTGACTTATACATAGATGGAGTATAACTTATTCTAATTAGGATCTCCTTCAGAATGGAAGATTGTATTTAAAACAAGACCCAACCCTATATGTCTCCAAGAGACACCTTATCGGCAAAGACATCCACAGACTAAACATGAAAGGTTGGGGAAAAACATACTAATTCACATGAGTCTTATAAACATGCATGGGTTACTATTCTAATGTCAGATAAAGTGAACTTCAAGCCAAAATTAATCAGAAGAGACAGGCCACTTCATACTGCTTACGGGAATTGTACAACAAGGAATAACGATTGTAAATATTTATGCCACAAACAATGGGGCATCTACATACAAACAGACCCTTCTCAATATTTTTAAGACTCAAATTACAACACAGTAATACTGGGTGACTGATACCTCTCATCACTGGATACATCTAAACTAAAACTAAGATACTACAGAACTAAAACATGCAATTAATAATTTGGACATAATAGACATGTACAGATTATTTTGTTCGTCAATGACTACATTCTCTTCTCAGCAACACATGGAACATTTTCTAAAATAGACCATATTTTAGTCCACAAAGCAAATCTTAGCAAATACAAAAAAATAAATACTTGCATTCTATCAGATCATAATGGAATGAAACTAGAAATCAACAAAAAGAAAAAATAGAAACCACTCTAACACCTGGATATTAAATAATACACCTTTGAATGATGAGGGCAGAAGAAACTGGGGAGAAATAAAAATATTTAGAGGTATATGAGACCACATCAAAATCTCTGGGATACTATGAAGGTGGTTTTAAGAAGAAAGTTCATGGCATTGAGCTCATACATTAAAAGAATAAATACCAAGTGAAGAATTCAGGGGCGGGGGGGGGGGGGGAAATCAAGTTATTGAAATTCATGATGAAATAGGAAATATCACCACAGACACTACAGAAATCCAGGTAATTAACAGAATCGTTGGAAGATTTGTATTTCAACAAGCTAGAAAGTCTTGAAGACAAATTCCTACAGACATATGACTTGGCCAATTAACCAGGAGAATATAGAAAATTTAAACAGATCAATTTCAAGTAATGAAACTGAAGACATCAAAAACCTATCAACAAAGAAGCCCAGGAACAGATGGATTCTCAGCAAAGTTCTACCAGACCTTTACAGAACTTATACCAATCCTCCTCAAATTATTTCATGAAAGAGAAAAGGAGGTGACTCTTACAAACTCATTCTATGAGGCCAGTATCAGTGTGATACCAAAACTAGACAAAGACAGATAAAGGGAAGAAAACTTCAGCCAATATCCTTAAGGAACATTGATGCAAAAATTCTTAATACTGGAAAATTGCATATAAACACGTTTAAAAATCGTGTACCATGATCAAGTGGGTTTCATCCCAGGTTTTAAGATTGGTTCAACATAAAAATTCAGTGAACAGTTTGCCACATAAATTGACTTAAGGAATCATGTTTATCTCAGAAATACAGAAAAAGCATTTGACAAATATAGTGTTCATTCATGCTTAAAACACTAGAAAAGATAGGGATAGGAGGAACATACCTAAACATTGTGTATACAACAAACCCATGGCCAACATTCTAAACAGAGAAAAACTGAAAGCATTCCCTCTAAAAACAGGAACAAGACAGGGATGCCACTTCTATTCAACATAGTCCTTGAAACTCTAGCCAGAGAAGGGAATTTACGGGATATGAATAGGGAAAGACGAGCTCAAATTATTCTGATTTGCCAATGACATAATCCTATATTTAAAGACCCAGAAAAGATTTTATTTGAGGAGGTGAAATATTTTGTTCAAAAGTGATTACTACATGTTGGTTTGGGGAGGGGGATGAAATTAGAAACTTATCCTATTAAGTTATCCTATTACCAATAAATTACTATGATGACTTGCATACTATTACTTCAAGTAAATGAAAAAAAATAAGAACTTAAATTCTTTTTTGCAGGGGAGGATACTGGGGATTGAACTCACTGTCACTTGGGGGCACTCGAGCCATATATCCCCAGCCCTATTTTGTATTTTATTTAGCACAGGGTCTCACTGAGTTGCTTAGCACCTTGCTTTTGACAAGGCTGGCTTTGAATTCGTGATCCTCCTACCTCAGCCTCCCAAACCACTGGAATTACAGGCATGTGCTACTGTACCCAACCAACATTTTTTTTTTAATGGTATGTAAAGATGATGTTTAAGTTTTTATACTTTTCAGACTTGTAACAGCAATATCTCATTTGGTAGAGAAATGGAGTTATTATGTGAAGATCAACTATATTTTTGTGATTTTTTAAATTAAAACCTTAGCAATTCATTGTCTCAAATAATAAAGAATTCAAGACTCAACATGATATAATCAAAAAACCTATAATCCAATTCACCATATTAGCACTTTGGAAAGTTAATTCAATCTTTGTCAATTTAAATACAAAATGAGGAAAAATAACTTATTATAAGCATTATGTAAATTTGAGAATTCATTTTGTTGTGTTTTATATGACTTAAAAATATCTTAAGTCCCCACACCACCCTTATGTACAGTTATCTTTGAAAAAAACAGATGCCTTTCTTCCCTTCTGAGTTCAGAGAATAACACATGGCTTTAATCACAGATATATGAC